CTGAACCTCTGAAACTGTAAGTGAGCCTCTCGGTTAGATGTTTTCCTTTATAAGAGTTGTTGTGGTCATGGTGTCTCTTTGCAGCAATGAATCCCTAACTAAGAAATGGGTACCAGGAGTCAGGTACCTTGTGATAGGCTATGATAGTCTTGACCGTGAATTTGGATTGTGGTACTTTGATTTAGGAAAGCAGTAGAATGCTTTAAGCACTGCTTAAAGGCCATACTATTAAGTACACAGAAGACATGGGTGCTAAGAGTTCTTTGAACAGTTGGGGGCTCATTCAAGAGGTTTCAGAGGAGAAGAAATTTGGTATGTTACCTAGAGATAATTCTTGTGATATTTTGGGGAAGAAAGTGGCTGTCTTTTGCCCTTATCTGAAGAGTCTTCTTGAGTTTGAAAAGTGAAGAAATTTGGATTAATTCCATTGGCAGAGGAAATCTCAAAAGAGCCTAGTATAGACTCTGTTGTGTAGTTTTTAGTGGTAATTTTATTTTGTTTTTGTTTTCCGAGACAGGGTTTCTCTGTATTGCTTTGGAGCCTTTCAGGAACTCACTCTGTAGACCAGGCTGGCCTCAAACTCAAGAGATCCATCTGCCTCTACCTCCTGAGTGCTGGGATTAAAGGTGTGCACCGCCAACGCCCAGCTTTGGTGGTAACTTTAGTGAAAATTCATAATGAAAAGGAGGTAGCTGAGCAGGGAAAATTACAAAATAAAATTTTTGAGGAGAAAAAGAGCACCAGGAAGTAAAATGGAGCTAAAGTCTGTGTTCAAGGTGATAACCAGATTCAGAAATGGGATAAAGGAAGGGTGACCTCAGGGCAAGGTCCCACCCAGCTAAGTTTCCAATCTGTGGAAAGAGACTAAAGAAAAACTTAGAGCTGGGTATGGTGGGGCACACTTTTAATTCCAGCACTGGAAAGGCAGAGGCTGGCAGATCTCTGAGTTTGAGGCCAGCCTAGTCTACAAGTTCCAAGGACAGCCAGGCTTAGGCAGTGAAAGACAGAAAGCTGGTGGAGACGTAAATGACACAGCGTGTGCTGCCCTAGCAAGCAGCAGAACTTGGCAGCTTCAGCCATGTGGTCCTGGCTTAAGAATTAAGGATAGAATAAAGAGTGATGGAATAAAGCCAGTGAGGCCAAGCCTGTGTCAGAGTGTCCCTGAATGGAGGCCTAGAGAGAGAAGCCATTCTGGGAATCTGTGAGGGTGAAGCCTGGATTGCCTCGGAGAACCCAAGATGTTAGAGATGCCAGTGTTGTGAGATGCCTGCCAAGAAGAGCTACTAACAGGGAATGGAACCAGCCCAGGAGAAAAAAAGTGTGTTGCAGTCAACATAGCTGAATGTAGTTGGCAATTCAGAGAGCGTTTTAACATCAGACATAGAGATGCAGAGCTTGGAGTTTGCCCAGCTAGTTTTTGGTCTTGCTTTGGTACAGTATTTCGTTGCTGTGTTCCCTTCCATGCATTTTGAAATTGATATAGGTAGGTGTGTGTGTGTGTGTGTGTGTGCATATGTGTGTATGTATGTGTGTGCATATATATATACATATATACATACATATATACATATATATACATACATATACATACATACATATATATACTTGTGCCATTATATGTTGGAAGTATGTGATCTACTTTTTGATTTTGTTTTTTTACAGATGATTACAGTTAAGATATTGTAATGCATCTAGAAGATACTTTGGACTTTGAAATGAGTTTGAGGCTGTAATAGACTATGGAGACTTTTGAAGTTGGACTTAATGTAGTTTTGCATTATGATATTGCCCCCCCTTTGGGGGTCAGGTATTGGAATGTGGTGGTCTGAAAAAAAAAAAAAGTGGCCCAAAAGGAATGGCCTAGTAGGAAGTTTGGCCTCATTGGAGAAAAGTGTGTTGCTGTGGGGGTGGGCTTTGAGGTCTTTGCTCAAGCTTCCCTCACTGTGACGGTCAATTTGACTTCCTGTTGCCTGGCTGTTTCTCCAGCACCATGCCTGCGTGCTGCCATGCTCTCCGTTATGATGATAATGGACTGAACATCTGAAACTGTAAGCAAGCCCCCTCAGTGAAATGTTTTCCTTATAAGAGTAGCTGTGGTCACAGTGTCTCATCACAGCAATAGAAACCCTAACTAAGACAGAGGGAGAAAGTGTATGAATATCAAACGGGACTGGTGACAGTCTGAGGGTGAGTGCCAGAGCTAGGTGTGTTTTGGGATGAGAGTGGAAGAGCAGAGTGGTTTAGACCAGGAATAGTGCTTCAGGAGAATCCGGTCTGAGACCAGATTAGAGTACAGACAGAAGACAAAGCCAAGGGATGATGTAGGGTATAGAGTAGTATGCAGGGGTGAGGGCTAAGCTCCTGTAGTACTTACTGAAATGGGGTCAAGACACGCTATAGTGCTAAAGAACCTAGGCTGCCTCCCAGGCCTTGTTTCCAGCAGCTGTTGGGTCTAGTACAAAGGGACCCTGCTGAGCTCTGATGCCTGTGAACATCTGGTAGAGATGGCCAACAGGCAGCTGTGCACATGTGAGGCTGTAACTCAGTGGCATTAATTCATCAATACTGCAACTACCTCACTTAGGAAACTCTTTGGCCCTCTAGAGCCGCCAGTTCCGCCCCTGTGTCCTGTCAGTGTGCCTTTTGTCCCAGAGTCTGTGAGCTTGTTATGGTAGACACAGTGACCGTGGGGCCTTAGGAGACCGCTGTATGATCTGGAGCAGACCCAGCAGAAGGCTCTCTGGATTAGGGCAGGAGGCCTGCCTTCTTATCCTGTGTCTGCTCCTACTAGCTGAAATTGCTGCCTTCCTCAGACAAAGGCCTGAGAACCATGGAACCATTCTCTGCTACTTTGTGCAAGCAGAGAACTAGTGTTCAGATACCACCCATAGATCTCCAGGGATGCTTTGTGATCTGCCCTCCACATCCCAGCACTTCTGCACTAACCCTGAAGGAGACACAGAGTGTTGTCAAGAAATACAGTTCAGCCCCTCTGATCCCTGAGACTGGGGAGATCAACTACCTCACAAAGCCTAAGCTTGAAGTCTAGTGTTTTAGAAAAGCAGCGGTGGGGGTTGCATTTCTCAAGGATAGAAAAACTAAAACATGCAGGTTGGTGTCTAAAAGAAAAAAGAGACAAGTAGAGCCCGGGAGTGGGAAAAGAGAAGATTCTGGATTAGTTTATCTGATCCACAGTAAGGGTGACCCACTCCTGGATCCTGCTTGTGCCTGCTCAGCTGTGAGCCCCAAGCACCCTTCCCAGCTGCTGTTTCCAAATGCTGGCCTCTACCCCTTCCTCGGCTGCTTGCCCACCCCGTTCTGTCGGACCTCCCCAATGTCTGTCTCACAGCCCATCTGCTCCATGTTTCTGCCAAGAGTTTTGTAACTTCGTTGTGGGCTGTTCCTCTTCAGACACTCCAGATGGTTGATGCTTTTCTGCAGCATACCAAAATGCCCCATTAGACTGGGAAGGATTTGAAGGTCCTTCCAACCAGATGGACAAAGCAGCTGGGCATCTTTGTCCATCCTGGTCCCATCACTGGAGAGAAAGGGGTGTCAGTGTAGATATACTCTTCAAATGGCAGGCACACAGAGAGACTTGTTTGCTGCCTCTGCTGACCCCACCCCCATGGACCTGTGTGTTTAGCAGGATGTTTCATCTCCCAGCTCTTCATGAGTCTGTCTTGTCAGCAAACCTTCACTATCTGTTGTCTGCCCTCCCTCACATTCCACCAGCATAGACTCTTCTGCAGGGCAGTCCTGAGGGTAATTTCTCTTGGTCCCCCCTCCTCCACTGTCAGGGTAACACTGTTGAATCCTTTCTACGTGTTTCCTGTAGAAGCTGAGAGGGTATGCTCTCAAGAACCTTAAAAAGATGTTAGACCCTGAGCTTACAGTTTAAGGAGGCTAATGCCCTAGATGCTGAAGGCTTGGAGGCAGTGAGGGTGTTTTATTGTTTTTCAAAAATATTTTACCTGTTTTTATTTGGTATGTATGAATATTCTGCCTGCATGTATGTCTGTGCACCACAGGCATGCAGTGCCCTCAGAGATCAGAAGTTGTTAGCTGCCATGTGAGAGCTGAGAATTGAACCTGGTCCTCTGCAAGAGTAGTGAATGCTCTACCTGCTGGGCCATCTCTAGCTAAGGGTATTTTGAAAGAGTAGGTAAAGCACCTTCAGGAGCAGCACTACTCTGCAGTCAGCTTCAGATGATTGAGGAATGAGACTCTTCATGGCAAAGTGGGTTGGTGTGGAGGAAATGGGGGGTCCAAAAAGTATTGTCATTTGGAGGCCAGAAATGGAGTGATCCATGTAGTTCTGGTAGGTAGATGGGAATGGCAGTAGTTACAAGTATTTGTAAACTGAAAGAGAAGAATAATTCATTTCAGATGAGCACTCATGCAGTGACTACTGAGCCCAATCACAAAACATCTGTAAAGTATGTCAAAGAATAACATTCTCTAGCTAGTAATCATTTACACATTTTCACAAAAAGGAACTTGAGTTTGGATCCTGCCAAAGCACTCACTTCTCTAAGCCAGGAACAGTAAGTCCTGACCCAGCTGTCCTTGTCTGCAACAGGGATGGATGATGACACTATGTCAAAATGATAGATTTATCTATGCAAATTAGTATTCATAAAAGAATTCAGGGAGCTTTTAGCCCAGGCATGTCTTCCTCTCCCTTTCTTTCTCAGCCCAGTGGCTCTCAGCCTCACTGAAGATTTGAAATCACCAAGGAGGCTTTTCAAAAATTCCTCTGAGTACTAGGACATTGTGTGTGTGTGTGTGTGTGTGTGTGTGTGTGTGCGCGCGCGCGCGCACGCTCGTGCGCCTCTGTCTTTCTTCCCTTGTCACTCTAATGTGCAGCAGTTATCAGCCATTCATCAGGCATTAATACATCTCACCCTCAATGTAGGCTTAACCTATAATTAGGAGTTAAAGATTGTGACTACACAAATCTGGTTGGATAATAACCCATTCTCATTTTACCCATCTAGAACTATTTCCAGGCACCTGACCTCCTACCATGTCTGACCCCATTACACTGAATGTTGGGGGGAAGCTCTATACAACCTCACTGGCAACTTTGACCAGCTTCCCTGACTCTATGCTGGGTGCCATGTTCAGTGGGAAGATGCCCACCAAGAGGGACAGCCAGGGTAACTGCTTCATTGACCGTGATGGTAAAGTGTTCCGCTATATCCTCAACTTCCTGCGGACCTCTCACCTGGACCTGCCTGAGGACTTCCAGGAGATGGGCCTGCTACGCAGGGAAGCTGACTTCTACCAGGTACAGCCCCTGATTGAGGCCCTGCAGGAAAAGGAGATAGAACTCTCCAAGGCAGAGAAGAATGCCATGCTCAACATCACGCTGAAGCAGCGCGTGCAGACAGTCCACTTCACCGTGCGGGAGGCACCTCAGATCTACAGCCTGTCATCCTCTAGCATGGAGGTGTTCAACGCCAACATCTTCAGCACATCCTGCCTCTTCCTCAAGCTCCTCGGCTCTAAGCTCTTCTACTGCTCCAATGGCAATCTCTCCTCCATCACCAGCCACTTGCAGGACCCCAACCACCTGACTCTCGACTGGGTGGCCAATGTGGAAGGCCTTCCAGAGGAAGAGTACACCAAGCAGAACCTCAAAAGGCTGTGGGTGGTGCCTGCCAACAAGCAGATCAACAGCTTCCAGGTCTTTGTGGAGGAGGTGCTGAAAATCGCTCTGAGTGACGGATTCTGCATCGATTCTTCCCATCCACATTCACTGGACTTCATGAACAATAAGATTATTCGGTTAATACGGTACAGGTAAAAAGGCCCTAGCCACACTGGGGAAGAAGTCCCCAAGAAGCTTGTGTCAGCCAAGGCTTTGAAGAGAGTGTCTCACCAGTGGCACAAGGCGGGGACCTATACTAATCTATATTAATTGCATAGCAGGACTTGATTCTACATGCTGAAGTCCACCTTCTGGAATCCACATGTCCTCTAAACAGAACCACCCTTTCTTGGCATTTTGAGCTGGTGATGGGTAGTTGATTATGACAAGTTAAAAGTCAGCTGATACATACAAGAGGAGCCAACAGGAGAAAACTCGGGCTGGATCAAAGGAAGAGCAGTTTTCTCATGGGTTATCACCATACTCTCAGTCAGTATCTCACTTACCCATCTCCAGAGAGAGCGCTGACTGCCAAGGGGTAGGGTGGGAATAAGAGGCTCCTTTGAGTTTCCTATGATGTAAATATACAGCAAATCCTATCATACCTGCTCTTTGTTTTGGAGGATGTGTCCAGGTACCAGGACACCTTTGCCCAAAGGCAACCATGTTTGGGTGGTTTGGAATGCAATATGCTCCCAAAACCCTTTGTGGCTCCACTCAGGGAGAAAGTAAAGTTGTCCCATGCCCTAGAGGAGTGAGTGTCCAAGCAGGAAGGGATGATCCTCCTGAAAAGCCTGAATTGAAGGATTCTTTGCTTGAGAAAGTGGTTATTTTCCCTGCAAAGATGTGATAGTATTGGAGCCAAGACAAAGAAAGACGCATCATGATCCAGCCTGTTGCTTGACATGCAAAATCCTTTTCCCATGAATTGGAAGCCTCACTGAAACACTAATATATTATGAACTCTCAGGGTTGGAAAATAATCCAGTAGTTTTTAGTTCTTCCCCTTCTTCTGGGACACCCCAGTACATTTGGGGATGAGTGCCTCTCCTTGAGTACCTCTAAGGGATCACTTACACCAGCCTGCATACCTACTGGTGACAGAAAGCTCAATATTCCCAGGGCAGCTCCTGCCAAGGTTGAGCCTTGCTGGTTATTAGAAATTTCTTTCAGTATTGACCCACAATCTGCCCTGCCAGGTCCACCTGCTAGGTCTTCTTTTCACACAAATGTTTGTCCTTGCTTTGACTAGACCATATCATTACTCAGAACATAGATGCCCTCTGCAGTTTGTCTTTAGAAGAATTAGCTCCTTTCTATCCTTAAGCCAACCCTCTTTTGTATGACGTTGCCTTGTTCATGGCCCCCAGTCCTTCAACTTTACCCACCAATCATGGCTCAGCATGTTCCTAATTATTTCTGGCAGTAGAAGATCACCGCCTGAGGAGATGTAGTCCAAGAGTGCTCCGTACCCCCACAGTGCCCCTAGAGTGAATGCCCAGCCTTTAATACTCTATTAAGCAAGCAGCCTTCCTCGTCATACTGTCTGGCCCTGACTATCTGTGGGCCTCCCTACGATACATTTAAAGGCAAGAAACCCCAGACCATTACTCCCCAACAGGCAAGGAGCCTTATGGACCTCTAGACTGCACATTGTGATTCTTCTCTGAGAATCCCACTCCCACTGGAGCCGAGTTCCAGACTCAGGCAGAGAAGCCCAGACAGGATCCATGGTGGGCAGAGCAAAGGGCTTCCTTCCAGTGTTACACCGTGTGCATGAGGAGTTTTCATGGTTACAGGCAAAATCTGGTCTTGGGGCACTAAAGTCCTTTCTCTCCCCACAGCAGGACCCAGGTTCTCTGTGGCTGTCTTGAGCCACTGCACCAATGGTACTCTGGAAGGTTCTTCAGAGAACCAACCAGGACAACAGAAGCTATGATCATGGCCAAATAAGTCAAGGAAGAAAAACAAAACCTTAGAAATCAACACTGCCCTTTAATTTTTTTCTCCATAAAACTGCTTTCTACATCATTTTTGGTGCTTCCTAATTCAGTAGCTTGACCTTAAAGCAAGTACAGAACCTGTGAAGCCACTAACACACTATGTGACTGTGCAAGTCACTCACCTCACTGAGCCACCTCCATTTCTTCATCTGCGAAATGGGCATATAGTAATACATAACCCTACCTACCTCACAGGACTGTTGTGAGGATCAAACAAAGTAATGTATGTGAGAATAAACAATAAATGACAATTCCTTTGTGTCTGTTTCCAAAGGGGAAAACTCCGTCTTAAATAAGATGGACCCAGGTTGGAATTCGCTCCCTTGCTTACTGCATCCCTGGCTATGTAACTGAGCTTCTCTGATTTGTTTCCTCGTTGGGTTAACACCTCTCCCTGTCCCAGGAACCTTAAAAGTGTTGATAGGAATTCCAGCTGGTCCTGGAGCACAGCTCAGTTGATACTCTCCCAGTGGATTATTATGGCAGACCCAACCCGTGTCGGCAGAGTTAGCTAGCAAGCCTGGAAATGGGAATGTGGGGAAAAGGTTGCTCTCCCCACATAGAGCTTTATGGATGGTGGAAAGTGGGTTAGCCATTGACAGACTTGACAGGAGTGCACTAAGGGCAGGCAGGAGAGGTGTGAGGGCCGGTGGTCCTCCCACATAGCCACTGCATGGGGGAGTAATGGGGACAGGTGGTGCACTGAACAGTCTCTCCAGGCTCACATCTCACAGGTGAGAGGAGGCACACAGCGCAGTTTGTGTGGAGCCATTGCAATGAATGTGAGTGTGGAACAGGGCTGTTCTGAGCCCCTCGCCCCACCCTCACCCCCCGCAGAGGGAGGGCACCCATAGTCAACCCAGCTCTATACTGCGGAGGCTTCATCACTGTCAGCTCTCTGCTGTCTGTCCCCACACATGGCAGCGTATGGTCAGAAAGGTTGCTGATGGGAACACCAAAGCACGTTGATGACTACTGCATGAGGCCTGCCCCCAGCAGGGTCCCTGCATGCTTGCAGGCCAGCAATGGCTGCCTCCTTAGGTACCATTCTGTGACCTGACACTCAGGACCACCAAATGATCTTTTCTTTTCTAAGGAGGCCAAGCCTCATGACCCTGTCCTGCCATTGGGGTCATGTTCCCTGTACAGGAATGACCACAGTGTTCCTTACCTACACTGCAGTGTTCCACCTCAGCACAGCCCAGACACACCATGTCTCATTAGTCACTATGTGGACCGAATCATAGCATTTATTAGAATTTACCCAATTCCAGCTTCCTTTTATGAATTATTCCCAACAGGCTCTGTGAACCTGAGTGGGGGTAGCCAAGGTCAGCTTGTGGCCACCACACCACCCATCCCTTTTCTGGGCTGCATCTCTTCACACTGACCATATGTGTCTGCCTTGGTGTCCAGGGGCTCAGGGCTGGTGGCAGTGGTTGGCAAGGAAACAAGGCCCTGTAATCATTTCCAGGAGCAAAAGAAAAAAAAAAAAAAAAAAACCAACTGGATAACAGGCCTATCAGCCACCAGGCTAGTTTCCAGGTCCTAAAGATCCTTGCTTTAACAGCTCCATCTGCCCAGACAGCTGTGTGCCCTCAGTCTCCTTCAGAACCATCGGGTCAGTGTAGTGCAGGCCGAGCAGTAGGGGTAGTCAGTCTAGTGACAAACTCACCCAGTCTGGAGACCCTGAGGAGAAAGTTTGGTCAGTGGAAGCCAGAGGATCTCAAAACACCCATAACTGCCAGGTTCCTCTGAACCAAAGGATGACCAAACGGGCCTTGAGAGTATGGGTAGTGAATCTGAACCGTGAGTGTCTAACAACCCTCCTCTCTACCCCCAGTTCCCAGAGCATTTCTAAACCTCTGCTACCACTTCCTAATTAGCTGGTAGCCTAGGGTACTCCAAGGCATTCTCTTTATTATTCCAGGTCCCCCTCACCCTGCCAAGGTCTAGGTTCCCTTTTCCTGAGAGCTGAATAAAGGCCCAGTTAAGCCACATTTGAAATCCTCTGGGGATCAATCCAGCTAAAGAACAAAAGACATTCTCTCCCCAACCCGAGTGTTGTATTGAATTTATGTAATAAATGCTCTTCACTGGAGCTGAAGAGATGGCTCCATGGTTAAGAGCACTGGCTACTCTTCCAGAGGACCCGGGTTCAATTTCCAGCACCCACATGGCAACTTACAACTGACTGTAACAACAGTTCCAGGGAATCTGACACCTTCATACCAAAGCACAAAAATAAAGGTAAATTATTTTTTAATGCTTTTTACTAACTCCTAGGCTACCAAGTCCCTTCATATCCGCAGTTTCCTTTCCAGAAGCAGAAGATATGCTGTGCTATTTCACCCTTGTCTAGGCTGCTCCTTTGCACTTTGTCTTCACAGCAAACATCTGCTCATCCCCTCACACCACGTCCCATGGCACAAGTGTGCTCAGGTGGTTGATTTTAAGCCACCAATGTGGTATGATGGGTAAGCTGGGACTGTGGAGAGGCACAGAGTTCTGGAGTTCAGGGTGAGATGTCTCCATCTCTACCACTCTTTTTGTAAGTGAAGGTGCTCTGCCTTTCTCTTAAGATCAAAAGTCTGCTCCAAGTTTTTCTGTAGCATATAATAAAACCAAAAACAAACAAAAATACAGTCACTAGCTCTAGCAGGCTAGTTTTATGTCAACTTGCCACAAGCTAGAGGAAGGAACCTCAATTGAGAAAATGCCTCCTTATTTCTGGTCTGTAGGGCATTTTCTTAATTAGTGATTGATAAAAGAAGGCCAGGGCCATTGTGGGTGGTGTTATCGCTAGGTTGGTGGTCCTGAGGTCTAGAAGACAGCAGGCTAAGAAAGCCATGGGCAACAAGCCAGTAAGCAGCACCCCTCCGTGGCCTCTGCATCAGCTCCTGACTCTAGGTTCCTGCTATTTGAGTTCCTGTCCTGGCTTCCTTGGATGATGAACAGTCATGTGGAAGTGTAAACCAAATAAACCTTTCCTCCTCAAGTTGCTGTGCTCATGGGGTTTCACTGCAGCAAGAGTAACCCTAAGACAAGCTCTTTGCAGGCAGGCATCAGCTTTCTCTCTTTCTTTCTTCCTTTCTTACTTTTTTGTCAAGGCAGGGTTTCTCTCTGTAGCAGCCCTGAAATTTGCTTTGTAGACCAGGCTGGCTTCAAGCTCCCTGAGATCTGCCTGCCTCTGCTTCTGCCTCCCAAGTGCTAGGGTTAAAAGTGCATGCCACAACTGCCTGCTGCTTTTTCTTTTTCTTTTCTTCCTTTTTTTTTTTTTGTATCAGTTTTCTAAGGCAAGACCTTTGAAAGGTGGTTGGTGAAAGTAGAAACTCATAATTGGTACCTTATAAAGGAGACTGTAGAGGATGCCCTTGCCCTTGCTACCACATGAGTCACAAAGAACAGATGGCCATGTATGAGCCAGGAAACAAACAGCTAGCTATACCTTGGATGATAAATGTTCCCCAAAGGTCCACAAATTAAGGGCTTGCTTCCCAGGATGGTGCTTTTAAGAGATGAGTGGTAGGAGGTCCTTAGCTCACTGAAAATAATTTTGTGATAGAAGGTGAGGTCTCAGCAAATGAGAAAACAGCCAAGAAGCCAGGGTAGGGGGAGCGGGAGAGGGAGTGAGAGACCCAGAAGCATCTACAGCAACAGATTCCAGAACTATCTTAAGAAGTGCCTCTGAGCACACCAGGAGACAATGTCAGCACTGAAGTAGGCCCAGACCACCAAAAACCATCTGACCACCAGATGGAGCCTCAGCCTCAGCCCGGCCTGCACCTGAAGGAGCATTCAAAGGAGCCACAGCCCCCAACTCCACCAATTGGAAGTAAGGGGCCTTCTGAAGCACAGGCTCCGCCTGCAATAATTGGAGGTAGAGACAGGTAGATAACAAGGTAAGAATATTCTCAACAACATGAAGAGCAATATCAGAAACTAGTTGTTCTACAGAAACAGGACTTGAACATCCCAACGTAGATGAAGCAGAAGAAAATGACATTAAAAATAACTTTATGATGATTATTGAGGCCCTTAAAGAGGAAATGAAAATTTCCTTTAAAAAATGGAGGAATTGACAAACAAAAGTTGGAAGAAATCACTTAAAGAAAACCAAGAAAAAGCAATCAAACAGGTGAAGGAAATGATTCAAGACTTGAAAACTGAAATAGAGGCAATAAAGAAAACACAAACTAATGGAACACTGGAAATAGAAAATCTGGGTAAATGATAAGAAACTAAAGTACAAACATTAACAACAGAATATAAGAGATGGAAGAGAGAATCACAGGTATTCCTCACAATAGAGGAAATAGATTCTTTGGTCCAAAAAAAAAATGTTAAATTCCACAAGTTCTTAACACAAAATATCCAGGAAATCTGAGACACCATGAAAAGACAGAACCTAAGAATAATAGGAATAGAAGTCCAGCTCTCAGGCACAGAAAACATATTCTACAAAATCATAGAAGAAAACTTTCCCAACCTAAAGAAAGACATGCCAAAGAAAGTGTAAGAAGCTTACATAACACCAGAGAGACTGGACCTCCCCCCCATAAAAGTCCCTTCGCCACATAATAATCAAAACACTAAACATACAGAATAAAGAAAATATATTAACAGATGCAAAGGAAAAAGGTCAAGTAATATATGAAGATGGACCTATCAGAATTACAGTGACTTCTCAGTGGAAACAATGAAAGCCAGAAGGTCCTGGTCAGGTGTTAAGCAGACACTAACAGACCATGAATGCCAGCCCAGACTACTATATCCAGCAAAGCTTTCAATCACCATAGACAGAGAAAACAAAATATTCCTTAACAAAACCAGATGTAAACAATACCTGCCCATAAATCCAGCCCTAAGAAAGAACTAGAAGGAAAACTCCAACCTAAGGAAGTTAGCTACATCCTGAAAAATAAAGGCAGTAGATAATCCCACACCAGCAAATCCCTAAGACAAGAAACACACAAAAATAACAGAAACTAGTAATCACTTGTAACACAAAAAATAAAAATCCAGAGACTAAAACTGGGTTCAAGCTTAAAGCTGAAGATCAGAGAAACAAAGCAGCCAAATCAGCATATCTTACCAAGCTGAAATGGCAGTCCTGTCTCTACAAATCTTCAGAGGCAAAAGCTCTCAGTTCCTGTCTCCTCCTGCCTTTTATTCCTTTTTCCACCCAGCCATATCACTTCTGTCTCCTCCTCCCTAGCACTGGAATTAAAGGCATGTGTACTGTTTCTTTT